GGACTGGGGGGGGGGGCGTGGTGCTGTCTGCGCTGACAGGCGCGCGGCGACGGGCCCCAGCGGGTCTGCGAGTAGGACCCTCAAACTGCAAGGGGCGGGCCCTGACAGCAGAGGGCGGGCAAGCCCGAGTGCCCCAGCGGCGGCGCGCCCCGCGGCCGAGGCCGCACCTTGATGGCCGCCTGCGTAGCTGCCGCGAGGCTGTGAGCGGCGCGCTCCCGCAGCGCCTTTGAGCGCACGAGGCCGTCGCCCGGCAGGCCGAGGCTGTTGGTGCGCGCTTCGGCGATGACGGGGTCGGCCAGGAGGGTGTCCAGGACCTGGGGGGTTGGTGGATGTGTGTGTGTGTGTGTGTGTGTGTGCGCGCGCGCGTGCGTGCGTGCGCGCATGCGTGCGCGCATGCGTGCGTGCGTGCGTGTGTGTGTGCGTGTGTGTGTGTGCGTGCGTGCGTGCATGTGTGCGTGCGTGCGTGTGTGGGTGCAGGTGTGTGAAGTTAGCAATGTCACATGTGCACGCGTGCGCGCACCTCCTTGTGTGCCGACTCGACCCAGAACTTGTTCTTTTTCAGCACCATCTTGGCCTTGCCATAATTCTGGGTCGCCTTCTTAATGAAGCGGGCCTGGTTCATTTGGGGGTTGGGGGGGGGGGCAGCAGGGATGTGCATGGGATGCAGGGGTGCGTGGGTGTGGCAGACGAAGGGACGGCAGATGGGAAATGGGCGGGCACGACGACGGCTCGCCACTGGCAGCTTGGCGGAAAGATCTGGTTTGCAACTGACGGCCAGCAGTTGGAAGCCAGGTCCCAAACAAGGACAGCAACCACGATGCAGCAGTGTGGAACCCGGCGCAAGCGGCGCGGCCGAGCGGCGCCGAGGGGCCACGCAGGGCGGCCTTGGCCGCACGAGGCACGGAGGCGCAGCGGGTGCAGCGGGTGCGGCGGCGCCTCACCGTCTCTGCTGTGACGGCGACCTTTGAGAGCGTGTTGAGTGTCTTGACGATGGTGGCGGTCTCCAGGCCCACGCTCACGGCCGCGTACAGGCTGCGAGTTTCGAGGGGAGTTGGGGGCGGCGGAGGCGGACGCGTTGAGCCGAGGATGGGAGGCAGAGGCGGAGCGCGCGGAGCGACGCTCTCCGCGCCGCGGCCAGCCGGCCGTGGTCCCCGCGTCGGCGGGCCTCGGCAACCGACGGCCGGCGCCGCCCAGCTGCCGTGTTTCAGGCGGGCAAGGCTGGCGGTGGCTAGCCCTGCCTCCAGGCCGGGGCCCGACTAAGCTGGATGCGTCGCATGCCGTGCGGGCCGTGCCTCTCGTGGACGGCTAAGGTTATTTTAATGGCAGCGCGGCTCTGACCTGTGTGGCGTGAGGACGTACTCGTGGATGCCCTCGGGGCGGCACACGGGCTCGGCGACGGCGATGAGGAAGTCGTAGGCCTGTAGTGTGTGTATGAGAGAGAGTGAGAGAGTGAGTGTGTGCGTGTGTGTGTGTGTGTGTGTGTTTGTGCATGCGCGTGTGTGTGTGCATGTGATATGAAGCAGATGTTGATGTGCGACGACAGGCCAAGAAATGTTGCCGCTAGAGGGCCCGAGGCTGCCGTGAATTTGGCAAAACCGCTGTTCGGTGCGCGCAGCCCCAACCAAGGCATCTACGCGGGGGATGCCGTTCCAGAGGACCCCCGCCGCCGCCAGCGCCACGCGCACAGATTTCAAGGCTGCGCGCGCGGCGCCGACCCGCATCGGCTGCAGAGTGGTGAGCGTGCGCGCGTCGCGTGTGCATATACGCGTGCGTGTGTGCGCGCGCCTGCTTGTAGATGGGCGAGAAGGTCTCCAGGAAGATCCGACCATCGGGGCAGACCCAGAGGGGGCGGTTGCCGTGGTCGGCCTTCAGCGTCAGCGACCGGAAGTCCCCCGCGCTCTTGTCCCCAAACAGCTGCAGCCCAAGGGGGCGAGAGGGGACGGGCAGGTGGGGCGGCCGGTCGGAGGCTGGCTCACTCCGGCCTGCTTGCAGGCATGCTGCTTACGCAGCAGACGGCCGCGCGGCGCCCGGTCTGCTTGAAAGCCGCCAACGCATTGGGCAGGCGGCGCCCTGGAGCCTGGAGC